GTGCTATCGGGAATTCTGGAACTTGAAATAGGGGGGAATGATCTGGGAGATGCCTGGAGGGATCTTGGATAGATCCCTGAGGGTACAGCTTCCTCCAAAGGAAAAATTCACAGGAAGCTTCCTTCACTCGAGGAGGGATGCTGTTGGGGATTCTGGAACGTGAGACGTGGAGGAAAGGATCTGGGAGATGTCTGGAGGGATCTTGGATGGATCCTTGAGAGTACAGATTCCTCTAAAGGGAAAAAAAAAATCTGAGGAAGTTTCCATGGAGGAGTTGGAGGATGCTGTTGGGGATTCTGGAGCATGAAATGTGGGGAAAGGCTCTGGGAGATGCTTGGAGAGATCTTAGATGGATCCCTGAACTTCCTCCAAAGGAAAAAATCACAGGAAACTTTCTTGGAGGAATTGGTGAGTGCTGTGGAGGATTCTGGAACCTGAAATATGGAGGAAAGGCTCTGGGAGATGTCTGGAGGGAATCTTGGATGGATCTCTGAGGGTGCAGCTTCATCCAAAGGAAAAATTCTCAGGAAGCTTCTCTGTTGGAGTTGGGGGATGCTATCTGGGATTCTGGAACCCAAAGTGTGGGGGAAAGGCTTGGGGAGATGTCTGGTGGATCCCTGAGGGTACAGCTGCCTCCAAAGGAAAAAAAAATATCAGGAAGTTTCCCTGGAGGACTTAGGGAATGCTATCTGAGATTCTGGAACCTGAAATGTGGGGAAAAGGCTCTGGGAGATGCCTGGATGATCCCTGAGGGAACAGCTTCCTCCAAAGGAAAAAATCTCAGGAAACTTTCTTGGAGGAGTCTGGGAATGCTGTTGGGGATTCTGGAGCCTGAAATACGGAGGAAAGGCTCTGGGAGATGCCTGGATGGAGTCTTGGATGGACCCCTGAGCTTCCTCCAAAGGAAAAAAATCTCAGGAAACTTTCTTGGAGGAATTGGTGAGTGCTATGGAGGATTCTGGAACCTGAAATGTGGGGGAAATGCTCTGGGAGATGTCTGGAGGATCCCTGAGGGTACAGATTCTTCCAAAAGAAAAATTCATAGGAAGCTTCACTCGAGGAGTCGGGGGATGCTATGGGGGAATGGGGGGATGCTATGGGAGTCAGGGGATTCTGGAACCTGAAATGTGGGAGAAAGGCTCTGGGAGATGCTTGGAGAATCCCTGAGGCTACAGCTTCCTCCAAAGGAAAAATTAATAGGAAGCATCCCTGGAGGACTTAGGGGATACTATCAGGGATTCAGGAACCTGAAATGTGAGAGAAAGGCTCTGGGAGATGCCTGGATGGAGTCTTGGATGGATTCCTGATCTTCCTCCAAAGGAAAAAATCTCAGGAAACTTTCCTGGAAGAGTCTGAGCCTGTACCTGGGATCCTGGAACAATGATGGAAACACTCTGGGAGAAGCCCTGGAGGAGTCTCAGGTGAATTCCAGAGCTTCCTCTAAGAGCAAAACCAATCTCAGGACGCTTCTGTGGAAGGGGACAGCACTGGGGACAACACCTGCCTCCCAAAGTCTGAAACAAACATTTATTTCTCCAGGTACAAAACCCTCTTTTTGGGAGAGGGGAATGTTAAAAGCTGTGTGCTGCCCAGTGCTCTGGGCTCAAGTATGGGGGTGTCAGTGTGTGTCTGGTGGGGGGCCCAGGCAGGGCCTGTGGCTTTGGCTTCAGAGGGGACAAGGCACACGCACTGCTGGCTCCCAGGGGAACGGGAATGTTGGGAACAAGGCACCATGGCAGCAGGAGAGGGGGGAGCCTGTAGTGTTCATGGCCTGGGGGAAAAGGAGGGGCCAGACCCCACAGGAGAGGCGCCAGCGCCGAGCTGGGGGGGCTGGGGGTGAGCTGCTCCCCCTCCTCCAGGGGCCACGGGGAAGGGATTTACAGTGGGAGGATCCCAGGG